AATTTTTACGTGCAATTATTTGTTACATTGATTCTTACTTTGATCAAAATGTTACACTTTATCAAACGATTAGTTATTTTGGTTTTCAAAATATTGAATCATTAACATGGAACCAAGTCATTCGATGTGTTGATTTATTAAAAATTAAAGGCCTGAATGATGATTGTTTATTTGATGAATTTACAAATATAAAATCAACATTAAAAATAATCTTACAACAACGTATCTCAGTTTTTGATCAAGTTCAGACGTTTATTAATAAACAAGGTGATATAGCAGTAACAAATGAATGCAAAGAAGAAACAAATGATGATGATGCTGATCATTCAGAAAACAGAATTGTGAGGTCTGATCAGTTCTGGATGTATATGTTTTCTCTTACTCAATCTCCAAATTTCAAGAAACTCGTATGTTTTTTGTATTCTTTACCATGTAGTAATGCTTATGTTGAGTCAGCTTTTTCACAATTAAAATATTTATGTAATGATAAAAGGAATTGTATGACAATTGACCTTCTATCAGCTGAATTAAAAATACGATTAAATTCATCATTATCATGCATTGAAATGTATAAACATGTTTTATCTAATCAAGATTTGTTAAAAGCTATTAAATAAGATGAAAAGTATGCGTTTAAAAGAAAGTGTATCTAATAATTCTATTTATTTGTTTTTCTTGATATTGTACAATCGAATTGAATAATTCTACTTATTTGTTTAATTGATTGTTTTTCTTGATCTTGTTTAATAAAGATTGAAATTTGATATACAATTTTAAATTATTATATTGAATAGAAGCTTTATAGTAGATTTACGTAAGAAATATCTTTTCTGCTTTTTTTCTGCTATTTGATGGTGGAATTTCTGTCATTTTCTGCTTTTTATAATTTTTTTTCTGCTTTTTGGACTTGAAAAGGTCGCAGCACTGGTAACGCTATATATAGAGTAATAATAAACAGTGAACAAAGGAGGGAAATATCCATAGGACAACATGAAAGAAAGAAGAGCGAATGAGAAAATTCCAACTTATATGAAAGAAAGGGAAAATTATTGGTGTATGACTAACAAAAGAGAAAAGAAGCAGAGTACAAGTTTATATGTATACTCTTATAAAAAAAAGAGGGAAAACTCTTATGACTGCATCTGAAGAAGATACAGGTCATAGCACCCCCCGCCCCACCCCTAACAACAAAGATGCGCGTCCCGCGCATCGGAAAAATAACAACTGATAATAGAAGACATAACAACAGGTAATAATAAAAAAATAACAATAGATAAGAAGTACTGAGAAACAAAATCAAGAAACAGCAGTATTGAACGATAGACAATTGTTGTGGAAGGACGATGTGTTCTTGCAAGATTTGTGTTGCCACACCACAATCTCTTCTTCACTCCATCGAAATTAATAGAATGTTAAACAGCTGGTCTTGTGAGCCATTCTTGATATAGAATCTCGCGTTGCCACACCACGAGTTCGTTTGTCCATGTCAACGGAATAATTACGTATATTGTTGATATTGCCATACTTGATACTGTTGAGACGCTGCCACATCGTCTTCAGCCGCTGTTGCTGATGGTGACAATGCATTATTGTATTCGTTCGAATGAATTGTGATCAAACATACCGTTCCGCAACCGGTTGAAGTTGACTTATATGAGCCCACGCAGTTTTTCCAGTTTGACTGTTTTCGACCAAATAGTTTTGTTCACCTGCTTTCTTGATCACACGGTAAGGTCCTATCCATCTTTCGTCTAATTTGGTGCGATTAGCACATACCTTAAGAAACACTAAGTCACCAATAGAGTAAGAAATATCCTTGCGATGTTTGTCATATCGCTGTTTTGTTAATTGTTGTTGGCGACGTATG